AAGCTTTCGGAAATCGTAAACCCTTTGAAAGAAGTAAATGACCTGGAAAATCTTATATTCCTGTAGAAGGGTTTATCATAGCCTAAAGCTTGATATGAATATACAAGTGAATATGAATATACAATTGTACAATAAAGTAATAAACTCAACCTCGGAAGCCGTTTTACTTATTATTTATAAGAATTTTAAACTAATTTTGACGCGTATTATTATTTGAATAAAGCCTTTTTGTACTTAATTACTAATAGGATAATCTAATGGGAGGGTCTGGATCATCAGTGTGGTGAACTTTAGCAGCGATTTCGACAGTTTAATCTTTGCAGTAAGGGCAGTAGAAAGTTGCTTCAATTAAAAAATATAATAATCATAATAATCATCATACGCGTCAAAAAATAATTAAATTTCTTAAAATAGATGCTTTCATTTCTTAGTAATTATTCTTTTAAACTCTATTGAAACCTGCAATGTCAAGGATAGAATGGTAGGGTGTTGGAGCATTCAACGGAAGATCCCCGGCCAGGTCGGGTGGCATGTCCCCTGGGGCCATGTACTGAAGTAGGTCGCCGGGATTCTCTTCAGAATTCTGATCAGGACTTTCTCACCACCAAACCTCTTCAGGGACCTAGTTTATGGTGCTTCCCTTCAACCCGTGCAGTAGCTGTTCTGGTGATTGATCAAATAAATAACAACGATACAAAGATCTGTTAAAATCAGAGTATCTATTAGAATCGGCATCTGTGTGTGCCAAGACATGCATTTACAAGTATTTCTACAGCGTGGAACAATCATACAAGGTCTACACAGAGAAAATTCATCTACGAAGTCACATACTTAGGAATATTGTATGAACAAATGAACTACTTCATCTCTCATTGCCCTTCTATCAGAATATACACTACAGTGAAACGCCTGGTTTACGACTACGCTTATTTAACGACCACACTAGTTGATGGTTTCTTATCCACATATCACCAATATACCAACACATTTTGCCATAATAGATACTCGCCATCAAAATAATCCTTCAAATCTTCAATGATCGACGAAATCTCCCATTTGTGAAATACAAATGAATTAACCCCTAATATGATCCAACCACCAATGAGAGATCACTTTCAAAAAAGACCATAAATATGATTTATTTCAAATGGTCTCTTATGGGAGGTTCTAAAGCATATTTAATAACGATCTTTCACTTCCAATCCGACCAACGACTACTATAAAATTGATAGTTTCCTAGAGTTAGTTTATAGTTCCAAATAGTGACCACCTCTAACTCTACTAGTTTTTCATATGCACATTCAACATTAATATAATACGTGGTAAGGATATCAGATCCATGATAATCCAACATGTTAACCAAACAGGACACTCATTCAACCTGTCTACCGTCCATTATACCAGAATCCCCAATAAATCACAACGTTCATTTATAGAGGCTTTCCATTCAAAAGCATAGCATCAACAAGAAAATAGAAATCCCGGAGATATACCATTTATTAATGCAATAGCCATGAAGCACAATATTCTATTTCAGATGCATCCCTCATTTGCTTATTTCTCAACTTTATACTAAAATTGTTTACCTTACTCTAATACAAGTATAACTGGTTTATTTCTCAATTTGTAATTCTATCTGAGTTACAAATTTGTATATATCTTGGCTCTCAATGTAAGTCTATATAATTGCACACATCACACCTTGTCTTTACGCCCGTTTAATAACGATGTCGTTCAAAAGCTAGCGAAATAAACATGTTCTATAGAAGAAGCTCCTTTTTGAGTTTATAATCTTACAATATAATTAATATAATACACTGGCCGAATGGCCCGGGCAACGCCCGGGTTTTACCCGATTAAATGCTTTTATTCAAATACTATTCGTTACAATTATAAATTGGCGCCGTGAATGTCATTCTTGTATAATATATAAATGAGTTTTAAAAATTGTAAAAAAATGCATCGGCCGGGAATCGAACCCGGGCCGCCCGCGTGGCAGGCGAGCATTCTCACCATTGAACTACCGATGCTTATAAGAAATGGCCATATTTGGGTATTTATTCCATTCACAAAAGCAAACGGCGACAGAATTGATTAAGAATTGTTGCTTGATAACTCTGATACTTGTATATTTTAATTATCGGACCATCTTTTATAATAAATTTAAACTATTTTAGACGCGTATGTTTCTTTTTTAAGATAAAACAATTTTCTTCTGCCCTTACTGCAATGATAAAATATTCACCATTATTAAAAATAATGAAAGCATATCCTGACCAGGAGCACATATGCTTTTTAGATAGCAGAGCGCCATCTAGTGGAACAGAAATCAACTAAACATTGATTTAACCTGTTCCCTGATATTTGGCCAACCCAATTTCTTGATAAATCAAGAAAAGCCATTCACGAATTATATTTAACAATTATTATCCTTTGAATCATATATCATTTGGGTAAAAAAACATCCAGGTTTAGGTTTCTTACATAAATCTTCTTATTTTAGAGACTAGACGCTCTTCTAGAGGGGATCTAGAAACAAAGATTTATTTAAACTATATGCATTTTCATCTAAGTGTCTAAACCTAGTTTTCTTTATCTTTTTGAAAGACGTTCAACCTTGGCTAAGGTGTAAAAACGAATATGATAAAAAGAGATAACAGTTATATTTCACAATAATAATAAATAAATATAAGTTTCTAATAAGCAACATCACCCATAAATCCTTCTGTAAAAGGGCGTCAAGATTCTGAAGTTTGAGATCTGACTTTAAAAAGATTTATACAAGAAAGCAGCCTCTAGATTTTCCTTCAAATGATCAAAATTACACTCATAAACAAAACTTAAGGAAGTTGAAAGCCTTTGATTTCGCCTTCTTTTAAAAGACAAAGTCAATATTTTATGAAAAAGGCATTTCCTTATCGTGCAACTGAAAGTTGCTGATGGCTTGCGCCATCTATCGGAATAAATATAAACTATTCTCGTTGATTTTTAATTATTCCAAAATTGGCTAAATACCCATTCTTGATTAATCAAGAAAAGCTAACCACGGACGCGTTTCGGGCTGTTGGCCCTCATCAGCGTGAAAAATCAACGAGAATAGTTGA